GCAAATTTAATTTGTGTAATAATATTGCCTTTTGCTTCTAAAAGATAGATTTGTGGATGCAGATTGAAAAATAAATGCATGCATTTTCATTATTCTGTTTTTATTTTTTCAGAATCCTCTCCTTCAGACTGTGTACAAGAAAAGTCTTTTTTCTGCCGCATAAGGTGCGTTAATCTTAAACCAAAACCATTTTTTTCTTTTATCATTGCATTGTTTGAATCTTAATCGTGCACTTTAAATCACTTTTGTTTTCTAAGACTTTCTGATTCGTTTACTTTACAGTTCTTTAAAATCACTGCTTCCTGTCAGTTGTACAAATCTGAGTACTTTGTGCTTTACAGAATCCCATTCTTTTAGCCTCTTTTAGTGTTAATTGTAAAAAAGCGGTGGCTCGTTTGTGCCACCTGATGGAAAATGAAGTAATTACATCGTGTTTCCGTAGTGAAGGGAAAGTCCTGTTCCATCACTTTTGACTTTGCCCAGCTTGTTTTACTTTATTAAGTGTTTAAGAGCTCTGAGTTACTGCTTTTTTCACTTATGTGTATTGTGAAACATGAGCTAAAACGTAGTGAAAGACGGGTAAGATTTTAAGTGTCATTTTTCATTAATAAAATAATCTAGCAGTGTACAGGACATATTTTCTCCCATGCATTAAAATAAACCAGAACAGCCAATTAAAAATCCCAAGATAAAATAATCAGCGGTCGTTTATTTGCCGGAAATGTTTATTTTCTTGCTGCCGTTCATTTCTGGCATCCTTGCCTTGTGCTGTGTGCGCGGTTCGGCTGTGTGGTCTTACTGTGCGCTGCGTGTCTCACAGCGGGGGCAGGGAGCGAGACGGGGACATACACTACTACCCTTTCCGCATGACTCCATACCTCATGAAAGTCCAGGACACGGAACACACAGAGGACCAGTTCTGCTGCCTGCTGCTCGCTGAAAGGGTTCACTCTGGCTATGAAGGTAAACTACCAGAGCAGCACGCACATACATCGAGAATATAATAGAGTTCCATTGTGGACAGAATGTGAAGAATCTGTCTTTGAAATTTACTAGTCAATTCTAAACTTTAAGGTACGACAGAAGTCAGTTTTTCTTGAAATTCCCAGGGGCGTCGTCCTTCATGGCCGTACACTCAATTGCTTGGATAAAAAGAGTATAATTTGTCATTTGGAAGGCTACGTAGTATGATTATTGTTAATTATGTCTTGGTATTTTTTATTTGCATTACAGCACCCAGAATTCCAACCGATAAAAGGATATTTACCACTACTCACACCCCAAGCTGTGTGTTTCAGGATGTGGATGAGAGGTGGGAGGATTGTTTTTTTTAATTGTTTGTCATCTTTCACTGACAAATGAATGAAACTGGAAGTTAATGAAAACTGGAACCTGTAAAGTTTAGTATACTTCTATATAGGACCATGCAGTTTCGCATAAATGGCAGCACTGGATGCTGAATGGGTCCTTGCCGTTTTGTTCCATTTACTTCCATGCAAGCCTCCATCATGGACACAAAGTTTGGCATTCGATATGATTTAGTGCCCTCTGGTTTATTGCCCATAGGAGAAACTTCCCTGAGGTCCCATTTCTGCGTTCACCAAATTTAATTGTTCCATGATTCGCAGTTTTCACAGTCCACTCGTATGCATATATCTGCTTATCTTATTGGACACCTGTTCGTTCACAATGACAAAAATGTAAGCAAACCCTTCAGATTTGTTAAAAGACAATATAAAATTAAAAAAAAATAATGTTGTTTATCTTTATCAGAGCTGTTCCTCTCTTGGGGTATCTGCCTCAAGATTTGATTGGTACACCAGTTCTGCTACATCTGCACCCCAATGATCGTCCACTGATGTTAGCCATTCACAGAAAAAGTAAGTTCATTCTTAAGATAAGAGTTTGTGAACCCCAGTTGTTGATTGTTCAGGGGCTGCTGCAGGTTTGATTTTGGAAAAAAAAAAAGAGTTGTGATGCATCCAAACTGAGAATCTCACTGTTGTCGTTCTTTTCTCTATTAAAGTCCTGCAATATGCTGGCCAGCCCTTTGATCACTCCTCAATCCGGTTTTGTGCTCGAAATGGAGAATATGTGACACTCGACACCAGCTGGTCAAGCTTTGTGAATCCCTGGAGCAGGAAGGTGTCCTTCGTTATTGGGAGACATAAAGTCAGAACGTACGTCTACCGCCCTGACTTTCTTTTCCCTGTTCATGCTGCAGCTCTCTTTCCATATCAGTAACACAATCCAGCTCTATTCATATTAAGTCAAGCTTCTCTTTAAGAATTACATTGTTCGTCATTAGTTTCAAAGCTTTGAGAGTCTTCTTGATTTCTTTTTGTTTTAAAACAGAGGCCCTGTCAACGAGGATGTGTTTGCAGCCCCTGCATTTACGGAGGGCAAAATCGTTGATTCAGACATTCAGGAGATTACAGAACAGATTCACCGACTTCTGCTCCAGGTGCGTCCGAAACGCTTTGCATTGTAAAACGGAGCTTCAAAATTGACTTCGGGAAAAATTAACACGTTCAGCACTGTTTTGCTTTAGGGGAAATAAAATGGCCGCAAGTTTGTTTTTCTTAATGAAGAATTTTAATGAATTACTGTCTTTTTTTTTAAGCCTGTCCACAATAATGGTTCCAGTGGCTATGGAAGCTTAGGAAGCAATGGTTCACATGAGCACATAATGAGTGTGGCGTCTTCGAGTGAAAGCAACGGGAATGCCAATGAAGACTCATGCAAGCTGAAGCCTGTAAGTCTGCTCAGAAACAGTATACACCGTGCGCCGCACTTAACACATGGTGCACTGGGCACTTCTGTGTTACATTTATTTTAAAAAAAAGACATGCACTGTACTTCAGTGGCTTATGCGGTTGTGTACTACAGATATACTTAGGTATTTTGTCAGTGTCAGTTGAAAGTCACACAAACTACTCTCTGTCTTTCATTGTTGTTGTTTTTTCCGTGCACCTGATTGTGTTTGTGCACTACATGTTTTTTTTGCAGCTTAAAACTGATTCAAGCGCAAGCCTGTGTTGCACAAACACAATCAGCATGTTGTACCTGTGCTACATTACTTCCTTCATCCTTTTTTTTGTCTCGCAGCGAACGTTCCAAGAGATTTGTAAGGGTGTGCAGATGCTGAAGAATCAAGGGCAGCAAGTGTTCATCACGTCTACAGCAAAACCAGAGGGCAAGAGAGCCTCTGGTGGTGAGTCCCTTCCTTTTGCTCCATGCATGTCATCAGCAGACATTTTATAAATCTCTGGCTGTGTAGCTTTGTTTTTGACACGACTGACCTCTTTTTGGTTTAAAGCAGAATCTGCAAAGAGCGTGAACACAAGAGCCAAAGATTCTCCTGTGATCACTGGGAAAGAAAATGTGAACCTTGATGATAAAACATCAGCTCATGAAGAACTAAGCTACAAAGATCAGACTGTGTATTCATACCAGCAGATGAGTTGCCTGGACAGTGTTATCAGGTAAGTAAAAGAAAGCAATGATAAAGTGTTGAACAAACCTTCCGAAGCAAAAGCGTAATTTAGTCTCGTCTTGCATAGAATGTTGTAATTGAACATCTGTTAGTTTATGCACAACTGGTTTTTAATTGCTTTAGTGTACAATAACTGTATTGGCAGTGACATCCTCCTTGCATAAAGTTTCTAATCATCGTGAATCGAAGGAGGCCTAGTCTGGCGTTTTTGCACTGCACAGTTTTTAACAATCTGGTGTTACTACAAGGAAAGCACTGCTTGGGTAAAGGGAGGAGGTGGGTGAGAATGTGACTGGGGAAAGGGAGAAAAGTAAAGAAATAAAATAGGGGAGAGGTGGGATTATTCTTGTATATATGTATTTCCCCATTGGCTTGAAACTGTTTTTGTGAAGACCTTAAAAACAGGTCGATTAAAAAAGAAAACAGCACTGCAGTCCAGTAAATGGGATTATCTCCCAATATAGTGCTGAATGATAGCTGTTTAATTGCTTCCTTTAGACTTTTTAACTATTTTTTCGTTTGTAGTTTAATAAATTTTCAGGGGCTTAAAGTGGGTTCTGGTGTTTGGCACAGCACAGCAAAAAACATTAAGGTTTTCTACTTTGCTTTGTTGCCTAAAGGTATCTAGAGAGCTGTAACATCCCCATCACAGTTAAGAGGAAATGTGAATCCTCTTCTAACACCACATCATCCAACTCCGATGATGATAAACAGAAAGTTGCGGATGACAACATGCAAGTTTCAGAAGGTTTGTACTTTTTTTCCATAATTCCTAATCAATGACAAAGTCTTAGGATGAAATTGAATTTTTGCTACATTACTGAACTTAGGTTTAACTGTTTTTTTCCTGTCTGGTGTATATCAACTGTGAAATTAGTAAAGAATTAGTACCTAGAGGTGGTGGTACTTTCTTTTAATATTTGTAGCCAAACGCGCAGTGATCAGTTTTTGGTTTGATTTGTTTAGTTTAAACAGAATAATCTCTGCCAGATGTCAATTCAAAATCCAGTTTAGTTTTGGATCTCTCCAATTATGCATATGATAGAAATAATAAGGAAAACAATATTGTTTTCTTATTTTAAAAGTTTTGTAAATAGTTTTGAATGTGTTAGACGTGTTGGCATCTTTTCTAAAATTACCCACCCATGGGTATGTACAGATTAGCAGCAGAAAGGTTATTTTTTTGTGTGGGGGGAGGGTTTTATGATCTTTGAAAAGCATAACCAGTGTTAAACAAAGATTATGCAGTTTAATTTTCCATTTTGCATTTTAATTAAAAGAAATGCAGAGACAAAGATAAAAAAGCTTCACGCACAATGGAAAATATTTTCAGTTAAGCGCAGTGTACAAAAAATATTTTAGTCCTATGACAGATTTTAGTGTTGCGGTTCTAAAGAAGGGCGATTTACATATTGTTACGAGACGTGTGCTTCTCAGAGTGTGCTATACATTCTCTACCTGGATACTTGAAGTCATGGATGATTTTTCTGCTTCAGCAGCCCCCCCAGTGTTAGAGGCTCAAGCTGGTCTCCCTTCCCTGAAGGCGCCCAAGAAAACGGCTACGGCAGCGGTTGTTGGCGCTTCACTGACCCCACTTGCTCTCCCGAGCAAGGCTGAGAGTGTTGTGTCCATTACCAGCCAGTGCAGCTACAGTAGCACTATTGTTCACGTTGGGGACAAGAAACCACAACCTGAATCTGGTACAGACCTCACCATAGCCTTTTTGGTTTTTAAGATACAAATTTATTTATTGCATTTGAAACGTCATTCAGTCTTCAGTGATGTACAGTCAATTTCTTTCTGGACAGTAGTGCTGTTTGAGACTTCAGTGTATGCTGTTAGTGTTACAGCTGTTTCTTACTTGGGTTGTCTTACCGGTCCCTGAATGAAAGTGAAGCATCCCAATATGATATTTTGTTATTATTTCCCAATTCAGTTTGGCTGAACTGATGCTAGCCACTTTCAAGTCCGTACAACTTGAAATATAATCCTTATAGAGAGAGTTACAAGTAGTGGACAAAAACACCAGTGTAATGTCCCTTAGCAGGGGCAACGTGTAGCTAGTATGGCTGTATGCGATGTGGCATAGAGTCTAGGAGCCTGTGGTATTCTGCAGGTGGGACGCGGCACCATTCTGCCACCAGAAAGTCAATCAGCTCTCGCCTAGTTTGATGGAGCCAGATAAAGCTGTTTACCAAAATATCCCATAAATGCTCGACTGGGTTCTGGTGGCTAAGAATGCCATGATATGTGGACAACATAAGTCACGCCCATCGAATCTTTGGGGGACCACACATGCTCCATGGTTGGGAGTCATTGTTATCCCGGAAGGCACCCCCCCCAGCAGGAAAGAGGTGCTGCAAAATGGGGTGAAGATGATCACCCCCAGAACGCGTCACCATTGGAGCCAAGCGCTCAGAGCTGTAGCGCTCTTGAGGATGGTGGGATACGTGCACCCATACATTGAGAACATGGTGAAGGAGAGAAGGATCACACGGCTCTGAATTTTGTCGCCTGTGCTCTGTGTACTACTGGGCTCCCAAGCTTGCGCTGGTGTCCCGCTCTGTGGAGCTGTTCCTGACGAAACTGGCTGCTTGTACCCCAGATTGAAATCTGCAGCTAACTGATCTGCAGTGGCTCGCCTGTTTCGCCTTGCGCTTCAAATTAATCCATGGATATTGCTTTGTTGCCCTTTGCTGCTGATGTCTTTTAAAAAAAAGTGTTAAAAAAAGGGGCAGAGCGGTGGCTCTGTGGCTAAGGATCTGTGCCTGTGGCTGGAAGGTTGCCGGTTCAAATCTCGCAGCCGGCAGAGGAATCCTACTCCGTTGGGCCCCTGAGCAAGGCCCCTAACCCCAACTGCTCCAGGGGCGCTGTACAATGGCTAACCCTGCGCTCTGACCCCAAGCTTCTCTCCCTGCCTTTGTGTCTCATGGAGAGCAAGCTAGGATATGCGAAAAGACGAATTCCTAATGCAAGAAATTGTATAGGGGCTAATAAAGTGATGTTAAAATGTTATGTTATGTTTTCTTTGGGGTTCCATACTGACATCGCATTAGACATCATTGCTTCTGAAACGGCAGCGTTTGAGCTGCCTTGGACACTGAAGTTCCTACCAAGCATTCCCCAGCAATTACCCCTCTTTCAAAGTCTCCCCTTGCAGCCATGCTAGTCATAATTACAGGGAACAAGGTCAGTTCTATACATGAACCTAAGCATACTGGAATGTTTTTAGCTTAATACATGAACCACAACTGTGGAGAAGTACTTGGCGACCCTCATTTACCCAGATTCTTCCTATTTTTGTCCACTACCTGTAGATTATTAACACATAAATTATGTTTTGATTATGAACATAAACTACTATTTAAAAAAGAACATGGTTTGCCAAATAGTTCCAATTTACATATACATGCAGGGAGGGACTAATCAGATCTTTTTATTATTGATCATGTGACGTTTTGAATACTGTATGTTTTTTTACTCTTCGGAGCATGCTGGTAAACTAAATGTTTTTCTTATTGTTCTGAAAGTTTGCTTACATGAGCTTTAGGCTGATCTATTTATCCGGTGTGTTAAAGCAGACCTACAACTGCTTCACACTATTGATTTGTGCATTTTTTTTAGTGGAAGGCTTATTGTACTATAACATAAAGCTCCTCGGCATCAGACAGAAGAAAACATGTAATAAAGAAATCTGCCAGACTTTTAACAGTTAATAATTAAAAGCATAACTTTGATTATGTTGAATTAATTGATTAGCAAGTAGAGTTGAATTGCCAAATCTAAGGATGATATGCTGTATATAAAGACAGCAATGGAATTTTGTGGAGCTCGGAATAAATCCAGGATGTCATATCTCACTGTCTCAGAAATAATTGAGGACGGTCCCAATGCCGCTGATGCTGCCGAGAGCCAGCCCCCAGCTCTGGCTGCCAGTACGGTATCGCCACTGAGCCAGGAGAAGGAGACCTACAAGAAGCTGGGCCTGACGAAGCAGGTCCTGGCAGCACACACCCAGAAGGAAGAGCAGGCCTTTCTCAGCCGGTTCAGGGAGCTGCGCGGGGCGGCCACTGTGGAGTCCACCTGCGGCTTCCACCTACAAGAGAAAAACAAGCGTTCAGAAGGTAAAACGCACTGCCCCGTGCCGTTTTCCCGCAGAACAGACAATCCAAATGGCCATTTTACTGTTTTTGTTTGTGCTAAATACTAGAGGGATGTTTAAAGGACACTTTTAGTTTTTCACCCATAGGCAGTTTTGCCATAGTGCCTTTAATATCAGGTTTTCAAGTTAATGTAAAATGTATCAGACTGTTAGATAGGAAACCGGAAGGTTGTCCCAGACCTGGAAAACAGTTGGGTAGTTTAACGTGGTCTGCATAAGTATACAGCACTGCTCTCTGTTAATTTGCCCTAATGAGTGTAAAGATCTCCACACCGAAGGGCGTTTTATTACACAAAAACTGTCTGTGTCAATCCTCCAAAGAAGGAACTGAATACATTTGAAAACAGAGCAAAATTTTTGAACTGCAAGCTGCACAAACACTACTACAGAAGCAATGTTGATGTCGTAAAACATTTGAGTTCCTGCATTTTTTACATCCCCTTATACGGATTACTGTACATACGTAAAACTGCTTAAGAAAATACGTTTTGCAAGCAGTTCAACGTGTTTAGTTTGAGTGTTTTCTGTACTTTTCTGACATCAGGAGTTCCTGGTCCACGCGTGACCAGGCAAGGTGGGCGCGGCGCTGAGGCCGCCGCTAAGAAAAGTGGGAAGAATAAGAAGACGAAGTCCAAACGGATCAAACAGCAGGAGTCGTCAGACAGCACCGCCTCCCACAGGAAACAGCCCCACAGGCCCCCTCTGGTGGGCCTCAACCACACCTCCTGGTCCCCTTCGGACACGTCTCAGTCCACCTTCCCTGCCATGCCCTTCCCGACGGTGATGCCTGCCTACCCGATGCAGGTCTTTCCCGCTGGGGGGGCCGTGCCCCCGGGCGCTGACCCGGCCATGTCCGGCTTCGGGGACGGCCAGAATACCCAGGACATCCGCTGCCCAGTGCAGCCCCCTGCCTACCCCACCCCTCTGGTCACTCCCATGGTGGCATTTGTGCTGCCCAACTACGTGTTCCCGCAGATGAGCGGCTCCGCCTGCCAGCCCCTTTACCCCGAACAGACGTCGTTCCCCGCCCACTCGGCCTTTCCAGGCCCGTCCCAGTTCGCCCCCCAGAACCCCTTCCCCGTGCAGCCCCCGTTCCCGGGGCAGCCGTTCCATTACGGCGTCCCGCCGGAGGCTCCGAAGACCCCCGCTGCCGCCGAGCCGCGGGAGGGCCCGTCGCGCTCGTCCACCCCCCAGTCGGCGGGGGCGCGGGACCCCGCCTCCCCGCCGCTGTTCCAGTCGCGGTGCAGCTCCCCCCTGCAGCTCAACCTGCTGCAGCTGGAGGAGGCCCCCCGCTCGGTGGAGAGAGCGGACAACGCCGGAGACAAGGGGGCAGCGTCCAGCACGGCCCAGCCTGACGAGGAGCCTCAGCCCGTACGTACCGTCGGCCTGCCTTTCCCGCGCTTTGCTTGCGTTTCTCAAACCTCCGCCTCCAGCAGCTTCCTTTAAACACGCGGAAGCTGCAGGTGTTTCAGTATAACATGAGTTCTTCTGTTTTTTTGCATGACAAAATGCAAACAGGGTTGTTGTTGTTGTTGTTTTTTACATTTCCTTTTAAGAAGGACTTGTGCTTCCTAAGCTTTGGTACATTGGGTGATATCTAATGATAGTTTGCAAAAAATAGAACAGTTGATTATCTTGATCTGCAGCTTGATTTAGTCACTTAACAGCTGCAGGAGTGGGTGTTTTTTATCTTTGTAAGCATCATGGAATCCATGTTGCTCATTTAGATGACTAAATAAAGTTATAGTTATTCCATGTTAAAGTAGTTAATTGTTTAGAAAACTCATGTTAATCAATGTGTCCTTACACCTTTTAGCTGTCCCTCAGTCTTCCTGGTCTAGTAAACTCGTATGGAGCATCAGCCAATATACCTCTTACCTCAAGAGCCTTTATTTCCAAGGATACACTCAGTTTATTGATGTTAAAGTCAGAAGAGAATCTCGTTTGGAATAAAGTGTGGTATAGAGGTTGTTGCAACACTGAGGTAGGCCAATATCGCAACAACGTGGGCAATAAACTAATAGGATTGAATTCCTTTAGTTATTGGTCTTGCTAAACTTTTGTCTCCATTTTCATTGTTTCTTATCTGGTTATCCATGTGAAGTGAAAATAACAGTGGAAACTAACATGTTTGGGATGATGTACCAAAACATGTATATCCTGGTATTTCTTGAGGTTTTTGTGGTATTTGGAAATTGCTCTTTTTACCAAAAACAAATTAATCAGCACTTAAATTGAAACACAATTGATATCTACTTGGGCACTGCGAAAATTTACAGTGTATTTAAGAGATATTTTTAAGGTTTTGAAAGACAACTTTTTAAAGGAATACATAATTTGTATGATATATTTCACATTTCTGCAGTGCAAGTCACAACTTTTTTTTTTTGTTTTCATCCAGCATTATTCTATTTTTAATCTTGGGACTATTCAGTGCTGTTATTCTTTTTGGAAATTTCTCACACAAGGAACCTTATCTAACTAGTTGGACAGAGTAGCCTTGAAAACATTCTTTAAATCTCAAATTTCTCAAGGCAGACACCATTTTCTTTTTGTGAAAATGAGAAACTTGGCTTCTGCTTCTTGTTGTTTGAAAGAAACATTACATCTTTCCTAATCTGCAGAGAAATTGTAAAATTAACTCCAGTTTTCATACACATTTGACATGCAATAAAACTTATGAGATCTCAAAAGGCAGCACAGAAGTTGTAATTAATCGTACATGAACACAAAAACATCTCATACCAAATGATTTAATTTTTTAATTCAGTATTTTTAGTTATCGAGTCTTTGAAAAATACATTGAATTTGTTGAAATTGCATGCTGGGAGTTGGAGTACCTAAAAAAGTTTATTCTAGGAAATTAAGTGGTATTGTTTTTTTTGGTAGTCTTGCGGTCATGAGCATGACACTGATGCATTGCATCAACGATTTTTGTGAATCATTTAATCCTATCTGCATTCCTATAAAGTGATCTCCTATTAGTGTGGTTATTTCATGCTTATTAGAGGGTCTTTGCCCCCTAACAAACCATTTTAAAAGGCAGCAAAGAAACGGGTAAAGATTTATTCTATGTAAAAAGGAAAAGAAAAAAGACAACATTTTTTAGAATTAACACCACTCTCCTGGCTTCTGAATTATACCTTTTGCCTCCTCTTCTTCCCTTTTATGGGAATTACTTTATATTGAGTCCATCTGTAATCAACACGAGTTATTAAAAAAGTGTTCTGTACTTTTTACCCTTTGCAGCCATAGGCAGAGTTCAGTGACATTAGTAGAAATGCACGTAGTAGTGCATTGGTAGAATGTTTTTTTCTTTCACTGTGTGTTGATTGTCATTACCTGTCCTTTGATATAATAATAAATAATATATAGGTCCCTTTTCAGGCCATAAAGGCCCATGGGGGAATGGGGGCAAGGGCCACTGTTTTTCTCGACCATCCGACACTGGAGGTGGAGGTGATGTGGTCAGCATCACGGTCCGGCTGGCCCATTACCCCCGGAAGGATTAACCCCCGGTACTCGTTTAGAAAGCAGGCTGAGTGGACCTGGGAGCCGTCTGGAAGGAATTAGAGCGAGCTACGCCGCTTGACCCTACCTGGGATTGAACCCGGGACCTTCCAGTCAGGAGCCAGATGCCCTTGCTGTCTGAGCTACCACGGCTCCGAATAATATATAGTGCCTTTTAAAGTGGCTTCTCAAAGCGCGTTACAGTAGGAAAAGAAATAAGCACACAAGGAGAGGAGACAATGCAGTGTAACTCGCGATGCAGCGACGTGTACAGCGCCGGCTGGGTGGTGACAGCGTGGTGGGCTCTTGTCTCGCAGGTTGGGTCGCCCGGGGATGGGCCGAACAGCGACGCCCACTCCACCTCCAGCGACCTGCTGGACATCCTGCTGCAGGAGGACTCGCGCTCCGGGACAGGCTCGGCAACTTCAGGCTGCGGCGGGTCCGCCACCTCGGGGTCACTGGGCTCCGGATCCAACGGCTGCAGCACGTCGGCCAGCGGCACAGGTGAGCAGAGGCAGCCTGTCGCTGCCTTCTGAAAGCTGCCACCCTTTGACAGAAAGGGCTAAGAACGTCTTATTGGTGCAAGAAGTGAGCCTGTATCAGGCAGTTTGAAAGCTGTAATTACAGCACAGCTGTTGTTGGCTGACTCGTTAATTACAGTGACATTGTGTTGAATCTCTTGTCTAGTTTCTCTTATGTTGCCGAGCTGCTGTAATTACAGTTACTACAGATGAATGCGAACATCATCTCTATTTGTATCATTCAGTACAATTGTACTGATTCGCACGGAATCTGTGAAAAGTCAGACTGTAATTGATCGGTTACATTAATTCTCTAATGTCATCAGTGATATGCAGATCTCTCTGTGATTTCCATTGTTGGATTGTAATTGTTATTACTTATAAAATGCAGTTTGTTGTTAATTAACCTTATTTCTGAAACATAGTAAAACAAGAATCTGAGTGTCTTACAAAAATACTTGATTTACTTAATTTAAAGCACTAAAATATCTGGGACTATAATGATTTAAATTAGGATACAATGTCTGTCGTGGGGGACGAAAAAACCACAACGTACTCCTGAGCGTAGCTTTAACTTGCACCTAATCAGCTGATAATTGAATGTGGATCAATTCAAGTTCGAGCCAGTCCTGTTCTTTCCATTAAGGGAGCAGCCAAACGAGTAACACCAGCAAGTACTTTGGAAGCATTGACTCTTCGGAGAACGACCACAAAACGAAGAAGGGGGAAGGGGGCATGGAGCTGGAAGAAAGCGACCACCTCATAAAATACGTCCTGCAGGAACCTATCTGGCTGATGATGGCCAATGCAGATGAGAAGGTTATGATGACCTATCAGATTCCCTCGAGGTGAGTGCGCCAAGGTTAACACCAGTACTACAGTACGTCTTCTCCCTGTTTGTGTTGCATTACTGCATGTCAGCTTTACAACCACAGAAGCAGCCTGATATATATTTTGGTTCATGTGTCGGGGCAGTTTGTATGTTCTTGGATTCTCTTATACCCAAAGGCACAGAAGGTCCTTTCAATCATAGAAATTGCACAACAATGGTTTTGGAAATGAGGCAACTTGGGCTTGGGTACACTGATAAGTGTTCTTGACAGATGAGTAGCCAGTGGAGTAAGCCTTGGCTTATATTGGAACCACTCTGATACACTGGTGTTACAGGTCTGTTCTGTAATCTTCAGGGATTTGCAGACCGTTCTCAAAGAAGACCGGGAGAAGTTGAAGCAGATGCAGAAAAGGCAGCCCAGGTTCACGGAAGAGCAGAGAAAAGAGCTGTTGGAAGTTCACCCCTGGATGAAGAAGGGTGGCTTGCCTAAGGCTATCGATGTCACGGTAAGATTCCTGAAATCGAATTTTGACTTTTAACATGAGGGACAGAGCGGGGGCCTCTGGACAATCTGTTATTGTGTTAGACATCTAAATGGTTTGAGCAGCAGCAGTATTGCACATAAATAAATGTAATGCTGTGAGATATGGCTGACTGTAACCATTGAATCCAAACCCTTTCCTGACCTGCATCTATTCCCACCTCATTCTGAAGTGCTTTCCCGTTGTCTCTCCTTTATCAACACCGCTGCGGTCCATGATTTGTGTAGTGATTGTTGTGCCTCAAACAGAGCCTTCTTTGTGTTTACCTCCATTGATCTGGTGTTGTTCCTTTTCAAATCACTATGTTCTTTGTGTTATTACTTAAGGAATGTGTTTGCTGTGAAGATGGAGCATCAGCCTTATTTGAGGTGGACATGCCCGACATTGAACTTGAAGCCATGGTTGACCCTGGCGAGGACAATCATTTAAAAGCCTTGAGTAAAGGCAGCGAAGAGCAAATACCAGCAGAAGAGAGCTGCTCTACAAAGACTGACTGCTACCTGGCAAAAGAGGAGAAACCATCCGTGTAAAACATCAGCCATTCCATTGACACAAGCTTGGGCTTTTTGGAAAACATTCCTGATGGATACTGTGTATTGAATTCAGTTGTCTGTACTGAATTGGAATTCTGTAAAAAGACTGTGCTTAAACATTTATATGGCAACAGTGTTGTCACTGACATACTTATTTTTGTCGAACATATCAGCACTTATTAATCTGTGGCATTTTTCTCCTCCTCTCTCCTGGATCCACTTTTGTTTCTGTTGTAAAGTCCGTTTTGCTCATTAACACAGTTTGAATGGACTGGAATTTTATCTGAGCTGTGTTTTTTAATCTTTTTTTATATATTTTTTATATTTAAATAAAAAAATATTTAATTGTGTTACTCACGTCACATAGGTCACATTTTAAGAACTACATGCAGAAGATGTTCCTTCGGGAGCTGAGGCGTCCTAGTGTCGAGTGAGCTATCCTAAGTGACCATTTGAAAAGATTGCACTTGGATTTGTTAGTTTGGTTGTGGCAAAAGTTCTAGTGTTTTTATACTGAAAGGAAAATGAATCTTTTTAGCTGATGAGGGCAAGAGCTTTTTTTAAAATGTAAGATAATCTCAATACACTGAATATCATAGGAAATGGAGTTATGTTTTCAAGATGTAAAATGACTCTGATTGGGATCACCTATTTTTTTATAACTGCACACAAAATTGGTGTCATACTTGACGTATGACAAAAAAGAGTTATGTACATATTTTATTTTGACACTGAGTAGTTAGACCAAAAGAATGCTCTAAGAAGAAATATTTTTATTTTATTTTTGTAGCTTCAGGCCAAATGAGGGGATATTCTGTATTTAATTGTGTGTAAGGATTGGCTGTCACTGAGCCTAGGTCACCGAAATTCAACTAGTGATTATTTTCACAGGTTTTACAGATCTAAGATGCATTATACAACAGCTAGCACAAGTAGCCATTTACCCAAAGACCAGTCACTGAGCTTGGAGAGGGTTTGAGAGAACCTTCTGAACTTTAAGGCAAGTTGTTCAATATGTGAATCTCCTCTAAAACTGAAAAGCTTTAATTAACAAAAATTAGCAAACTATTGAAAACATGTTGCCCTCATTAGAATGTTAGTTGGACCCAGAGAGCACGACAGCTGTTTATTACTTTGAAAAGAAAATAACTATCCAACAAGGTTGACTAGAAGGATCTTCTAAATCAGAATGGCATAGCAGAAAATTAACAGCCATTTCAGTTACTGTAGTGGTAGCCTTCATGGACTTTACTGCACATACAAAAATAGACTTTTAATGATTGTGGACAATGTCAGCACTCTAAAACTATTTCTTGATGTCAATGTAAATTTCCAGTCAAACTTCTGTTTTCTATTTTTACTGTTTTATCTGTTTGCCCCTGTACCAATGAGTGGTATGTTTTATTACTGTCTTACTTTTGTAGAAAATGGGGAAAAAAAGACTTGTCTTGTGTTGTGAGACAGACTGTTCACACAGTACTGTAATAAACATTTCACTTAAGACTATGTGTATGAGTTATGATTTATGCTACTGGTACATTGATTTGACTGGGGTCTTCCGAAATACAGAAGAGAAAATAGGATATAGTAAGCAAATAGGTAGGGAAATGCATCACCAATATTTAAAGTTCAAAGAACGGAGTACATATAAAGGTTATTTGGTTCTATTGAATTGATCAGTACCAGGTCACAGAACAAAAAGGAAGTCATAGGATAAGAAAAATCCAAAAATAACACTCTGCACCTCTTTGAGAGATTACATTGGAATAATTTGTAGAAAACAATTCAGCCTTCTATGATTTGTAGGTGTTCCAATGTCTTCCAACAGTAGCAGCTGCTAATCCTACTTGGGCTGAAACTACTGCTTCACTTGTTAGAAAACACCTGCAAAATAACTTTTTCTTCAACACCATCTTTGTTTTTCCTTCCATTAAAAGTAAAATGGAAATGGAAACACACCTTTACAAATCAGTTGCACTTGCAAGTAGTTTCAGAAGTATAGGTTTTCCTCACAAAAACTCTAAAACATCAAAAATGGCCACACAACAGTTGTTTGTTTTCACAGTGGAGTCCTTAGACAATCTGTAGGATTTCGGACCCTCTGGGATGATTTTGCATAATGTTGGGTTCAAATGAGTTACACATTAGGACACTTGTGATGGTTTCAGCCATTTTATTGAAAATATCACAGCAAACGCTGTGAGCCGAGGCTCCACTCTTAAACCAGTTCGACAGTACTGGGTCTTATGCTCTTAACCGAGCATCTGATGTGACTGAACATGTTTAGCTTTCTGCCCTACTTTCAAGTTCTTTATGACTAATTATAGATAATTTAATTCGTTATTTATTGATTATTAATTTATTTAAAAGATTAGTTTAATAAAAATCTATTAAAAGATCAAACCAATTTCAAATTATTTATGTAGTAAAATATGAATTAAAAATGGGATTCAATTATGAAATAACTCAGAACAATCTGCAGACACTGAGGTCACATAGCCCTGGACTATTACCCTCTTGGTTCATCAGTTCATTTTTTTAATAGCTTTATACAACACATGGTCACTAGGGTGCCAGAATATATCCCATATCCTTGGACTGTGGGAGGAAACACCCAGAGTGAACCTGTGTGAACATGAGGAGAACATGCAAACTCCATGCAGATAGCACACCAGAAATTTAACTCAGGACCCCAGCACTGCAAGGCAGGAATGCAAACCACAGCACCAAAGTGCCATCCCTTTTTAGAGTGTTGCTGAAAGTAGCTCAGGAGATCCGTAATCCATTAAGTTTTGTAGAAGGGCACCGTTTATCTGATGAGATGTGAGATGTAAAAACAGAGGTCCTGACAGTCCTTGAACATTAAAAATCCCAGGGTGTTTCTCAAAAAGAGAAGGGGTGTTTTCCCCATGTCCTGGCCAAATTTCCCTGTTTTTTATTTTCAAAATCATGGCCTCCTAATAATCCCCATCTAATAATTGGTGAGCGTATTGGAGCATGCTGGCTGCTGTTGCATCGTCCAAGTGGGGGATACACAAGGGTGGTGGTGGAGGAGGGGAGTCACCATTAATTGTAAAGTATTTTGAGTGGTGTGTTCTTAAAAAGTGCTATATAAAAATTAAGGAAATTATTTTTATTAAACTGCATAGAGAAGCTCTATCCATTAAGGACTGAAAGCTAGTTCAAATAATGTACTGTCTAATTTATCAACTGTCTCTAAATTACTTAATTTAACTAGCCTCCTCCTTTAATTATTTCAATTAAATTGTTCCTTGCCCTTAGAAACTGGTGTGGTTTACTAGTTTCAGATGTGAATTGTCTCACTGCCCTGAGGTTTTCCTTGCGCCTTGTAGCACACTGTTCCGCCAATAGATGGCGGTGTTGTTCCAGCAACAAACAAGAAATGCCCGCATTGCAAAGCGGGACCTGTCACCAATTTCGTGAACAGTATCTAACACGCAAGCCACATCCAAGCTGCCACTCGTATGGCTTTTTTCGGGACAAATATTTTTCTAGTAATTCAATATTTTTAAATTAATAATTAGCTAGAATAAAACGCACTTTGTTTAAAGTCGGCAGTAACTATTCAGATACCACTTTATGTCATTATGCAACATATGAAACATTTCTAAAGATATACAGGTAACTCATCACGTGATAAATTATTAAACGTCAGCTTTAGATGACAAATATGGCAAATATGTCTCTTTAGTTGTCTCTTTAAAGCAGTTTCCATCATGTCTGTATTCTATCATAATGATCATAACATCGTGCCTTCAGTCACAACTGCGTGGAACAGATATACAGCAGATCATGGCAAAACAGCAAGAGATTATTTTAGAAATGTGATGAAGACGGAGCCCGGAAATATTCTGTAGACTTATTAGTCAAATGAGTCCCATTAATTGTCTTTTGTGTACTTTTTCATGAATTGAAGCACTCGTACAGTCTTTGTTTTTCACACAAAGCGGGTATCGTCGTCTTCATTAGAAAGAATGTAAAATGACCCACTTTTGATGATGATTTCATTCACAAGTGATCGTTTACTGATAATGGCTGGTCGCTTTAATGAGTTATTAGCGAACGACCTTCGTCGATAAAAAACGTTTTTTTTAAAAAAAAAACGACTGACAGAACATAAAAAAGAACAGGGATGTTAAAAACCCTAACTAAATTATGTGTAAGACGTAACCTTTGACTTTAACTAGATTTCGAATTTCAAATTTAATTTTCCCACTATTAGATAAACCCTTAGCAATGTACAAAAATACGCCGGGGAGAGGGGGGTCAGTTTAATACGTTTACCTCTAATAACCACGAGGTGGCTTCAGAATCTTTTTGAATTTGATTCTTTTTTTTTGTCTTTGGGGTGAACGGCGTGTTTTTATAATTAATTAGGTCTCCCCCTTACAAAATAACGAAGTGCCTTGAAATCTGCATCTCTTCCAGGTTTTTTCGCTCAATTCCGGCCTGTGTCCAGCGCAAAAGAAAGGTGCGAAACTGCCCAGAGGTGCAATTAGCACTACAAAAGGGAAACCTGAATACGTGTGAGTTTTAGTACGTTGCCCTGCCAGGCAGTATATCCACGGAATTTAAGATGGGTTTAAAAGTTTTAAAAAGCTCTGAAATGTTTAAATGTTTATTCTTGGAATGTTTGCGAACAAATTGAGTGTATGCCATGTCCTCACATTTCCACGTAGTTTTTATTTTAGAAAACGGGGCACGGATTAAATGACTGTGGCCATTGGTGAGGCAATGCTGTTATAGCGCCAGGTTTAATGTCACCCAGGTAAGAAAGGGATCAGCTCGATTTTTTAATGCGTCTTCAGCTCTCTTTTAGCTGTCTTCAGCCTGAACCACTTTACTATTCTGAGCCGTATTATCATTTACACCGAATTAAAAACATACCTAAAACGTGCCCTGACACAAAGAATATCATGTTTTATTGAAACATGTTTTTCTCACCGACTGCTGGATTGAAATTCCAGGATAGATCACCTGCTGGAAAACCGTTACATGGGCAGAACGGTACCTTCTTAAGACCTATACGTATTTACCATGGTTGTGTCCATAAAGGGTGAAATGTTTGTTCTTATTTAAATAAAATGCGCGTTGAGAGCATCTTGGCCTTTAATATGACAGCTCGGGATGGACACCTGGGGTTGAAAAGCAAAACCTAACTGTCCAGGATTGTGAAAATTGCAGGAACAATCATGGGGGAACATCTCCAACAGCCCCAGGTCAGCGATGTATATCATAATACAGGTCTCAGAATGGCAAGGAACATCACACACCCACTCCATTCTCAATTCATAATACTCCCACCACGAAGACGGTATAGGGTACCGAGTTCAGATAAAAACATTTATAAGAAGCCCTTTGTCCCCTCAGCAATAAAACCGCTCAATGAATTATTGTAAAAGCAATCCCCCCCTCTACCTATTTATTTATGTATGTATTACATATTGTTGTTGTGATTTCATGTACTTAGTGTGACTTTTCTGTTTTGCTTGTGTGTTTTTGTTATTTTATGGGAGAGGCCGAAGACAATTTCCACAGTAGTGGACAATAAAGTATCTGTCTAACAAAAACAAATAAGTATAAGGCTCTTAAAGACAGTTCAATTCGTTTTTTTTTAAATGACTATGATATAGGTTAGCATGAAAGTACACCACCGACTCGAATCATTTCTTTATAACTATTATTTATAACTATTTATAACCGTATACATCAACTATTAACTTGAAGCACTAAATAGTCCCATAGAATGCATTGGCTGGTCGGGTATTTGTGTTATTTTTTTACCGTTTCCTCTTTGAAACCTTTGTTGGATTAAAATGTTGCTTTCATACTCACGGCGTAAACGCAGTCTCCTCCTCCCAGATAGGAGGTTATTCTGAAGAACGTGATTTTATTCCATTGTGGTTTTATCTGCACCATTTCAACTTGCACTTTCTCTTATAGAAATTTTACTCACACGTACTTTTTATCTACCGTATATTTTAAATATACTGTATACTATTAGGACGTGGTTCTTTGCACGTTTCCTTAAAACAAAGACAGCCGTTGTTGTTGTTGTTGTTGTGTTTTTCTGTTTTGCAAGGATTGAGAAAAGAACCGTGTTTATGGTTACGCCTTTGATGCGCTTGCTGTCACCTAGTTCTGTAGTTTTGCATTTTTGTTAAAGATCTTAAAGGGAATTGTGATTCAGATCCGCACTTAGGCGCCACCAGTTATCATGGCCGAAGACCCTACGTATCATCTTTCACATAAATAAAGGCACGTAGTTTTAGGGTCATGTAAGTGTGTTAAAAGGTGACTAGTCTTTGTGGGGGAAAGCACACGCATTCAATGTTATTCTTTACATGCAACTCCCAATGAGTAACGCTTTTTTGCTTAACTCGTTTTAAAATGGGCACAATGATTTGGAGTAATCATTTTGATTTCTAAAATTAAACAGCTGAAACGTATAGCTAATAGGTCTGTATCAAAAACTGAGGG